CTGATGCCCTGCGTATTAGGGCTTTTTTCCACTCTGGCTGGTGGTGTGTGAGTCCCAGGCATGGTCCTGCTGGGTTCCCGAGGTGGTCCTCTCTTGGCCCTGGCAGTTCCTTCACATGCATGCACTGATCAGTAAAGAGCTTAAGACTCAAGAGGAACCCTCAAGAAAGCTCCAGAAATTTCTGTGCAGCTCTGTCCCTTCCACTCAGCTGGTTCTGTCCTGTGGCTTGTGGCTGTGTGGCCTCCCCAGAGTCTCGACTCTGTCTCTGCCGTCTGGGGAGATTTCTGGGTGTAGTGTGGGCTCCTCCTGGTGCTGAGGCCTGGAAACCAGGCCGTGAGCTGGGGCTGTCACAGGCCTCCCTTGGTCGTCTCCTTTCTCTAAGGCGTTACACTGTTGCCCGGGGTCTAAAAACCATTGTTTCATATAGTTTGTTCATCACTGTTTTAGTTTTTAAGGTGGGAGGGTAAATGCAGCCTGTTACTCTGCCATGGTCAGAGGTGGACGTCCAGACTTCCACATTCTTCTTTGAATCGTGAAGCTGAGGGTCTTGACTTCGCATCACTGAGACGCCGCCTGGCACCCAGTAGTTAGTCAAACGTTATCTGCTGAACAACGAACTGAATGAATAGCGGGCCTCCCTAACTACACCCTGAACTTAAGGATACAGTATCGTTCTTTATTCCCCAGACTAGACACTTAATAATCAAACTCCAAAACATTGTGTTTGGATCTGTGTCTGCCACTGTGACCTCCTCCCTTCGGAGGGTAACACGTACCTTGCAGGGCAGGCGTGAGAATTCACCAAGAGGTGGCGCGCGGGAAGCACGCGGTGAGTTCTGAATGAAAGGGGGACGCCTGCTGCTGTGTTTGGGGTGCTTAGTGACCCTACCTTGATACGAGCCTTTGTAATTCATATGTTTTCCACATACGTGTCTTCTACAATCCTAACAAAACATTTTTCTCCCAAATGATTACCTAGGTTCAATATAAAGCAAACATAAGTCCCAAGAATCTTACGAAAGAAGCAGCAAGGAAAACAAGCATTTGGAGACTCGAGAGCAGAGCTCCGCTTTCATGGAGGCTTTTGAACATCACGCTCTATTTCTGGCTTTGAAGAACACCCGGGCTTGCCTGATAGACTTCGTCTCTCAAGGTTTTAACCCGCGCTTCACCTGGCGGTGTATGCCGAAAGCTGTTTTTCACAGACTCCCCTGTGGACTCCCCTTCTGTGAGGTAAGGCCTAAAATTAATATTATGTGCTGCCTTGACAGCTGATAAATGTGGGAGGGTCTTGAGTGGCCTAACTCTGCTCTCACGGATAAGGCCACCTGGCCACACAACCCTCCTTATCAAGGGGACCGGGCACAGTTTCTGCTGATCTTCGAGGGATGGGTTTTAATTTCCTGTCAGCCCATGGGGGTATTCAAACAACCCAGTCGCATCCTCCTGTGGGAACCAGGGGGCACCTTGCTCTCCTGATGCTGCACAGCCTGCTCCTGCTGCCCCTGTTCATTCACTTTGCCCTCGAATGCAACCTCCATGTAGCCCTGTGTGGGTGCTGTGTCCTCTTGCCCTGAGCTGAGTGTAAGTGACCAGTAAGCTACCATCTGTCCAGGACTGGGCGTTGTGGTTTCGGCCACCCTCAGAACCCTAGGACAGGAACCTCTCCCCTGACAGTGGGTGAGGGGGTGAGTAGAAGACCCGCCACGCCACCACTCACACTGCCTCTCCTCACCTTTCAGTGCTGGTGGGGGAACGT